TAATTATCAATGTACAATTAATGTTCATGAAACTTTGGGTGTGTTTGATATTCTGATCAATAATTGAACTATGAAACAGTTGATAGTTCACATTACACTTTCAGATCAGATCAGAGGTATTTTGTGAGTTGGTTTTTATGTTAAATACCTGTCAGATGTAACCCTTTTTTTTTTACAATATTCAATATTCTTTTTATTTATTTTTTCATAGTGTAGAGCAATATTCTGTTACTGTTTTTGAATGAGGTCAGGTTGGATTTGTGATGTGGTAATGTATAGATGAACCAATTTTTATATAAATTTTAAAATTCAAAGTATTTTTGTGTTTTTTATAAACTTGTTTCACGTCTCTGATCAGTTTTCATCCAATTTAAATAATAACAAAATAACAAGTTGACCTTACACGAGTATTTGTATTGTTAATAAAGTGAAGGATTAACTCCCCTTGACTATAATCCTCTGATTAAGATGCAAGATCACGTCAATCTAAACAATATTACTCCAGTGACTATAAAGATAAATAAATATTGAACAATAGAGTAAGAAAGTCGACTTGAGAATCACAGCACATCAAATTCTTTCTTGCTACAACAGGATTCAAACCTATAGCGCCAAATTAATAGGTAGACTTCAATATAATAATATCACTTCAGGTAGACAATAGATAAAGAATGATTAATTTGGGCAGAAATTTGACTTTGATCAACTCTGATAAACACTAATACAGGGATGAAAAGTTTTCCTTCACATACCAGAATTCTAACCCACAGCGCTGAATTACTGTACAGTTTGAAAGAGATATTGATTGTAAAGATAGTTGGTGTAGGATTAATTCCTGTTTTAATCCTATTATTAAGATGCTAGATCAGGGTTTAATAAACGTTAGGACAGCAGGTTTTATTGTATTGTATTTATCACAGAACAGGTATTTATCAATAGATGTTTATAGATTGTATCTCCAGTTTTACATTAAATTTTAAAACTTAAACTTGGTATTCAAATAAAGATAGACTAAGCACATTCACTTTATTTGATATCACTTAAACTAATAATTGTTAATATTCAACAACATTAGCATGTGTGGACACCAGGGAAAGAGATGCTGAATTGAAACAACCATTCTGCAGAGTTCTATCAGGTGTTACTGAAGGAAAGTGAAACTTAATAGTTATAATAAATATAATAAAGAAAATATTTTTTGAGTATTTGTAAGTAAGAGCCTGTCCTATGTTTCTATCAATGTAGGTAATATTTTGTGAGTATTTGTAAGTAAAAGCCTGTCTTATGTTTCTATCAATGTAGGTAATATTTTGTGAGTATTTGTAAGTAAGAGCCTGTCATATGTTTCTATCAATGTAGGTAATATTTTGTGAGTATTTGTAAGTAAGAGCCTGTCCTATGTTTCTATCAATGTAGGTAATATTTTGTGAGTATTTGTAAGTAAGAGCCTGTCCTATGTTTCTATCAATGTAGGTAATATTTTGTGAGTATTTGTAAGTAAGAGCCTGTCTTATGTTTCTATCAATGTAGGTAATATTTTGTGAGTATTTGTAAGTAAGAGCCTGTCTTATGTTTCTATCAATGTAGGTAATATTTTGTGAGTATTTGTAAGTAAGAGCCTGTCTTATGTTTCTATCAATGTAGGTAATATTTTGTGAGTATTTGTAAGTAAGAGCCTGTCTTATGTTTCTATCAATGTAGGTAATATTTTGTGAGTATTTGTAAGTAAGAGTCTGTCCTATGTTTCTATCAATGTAGGTAATATTTTGTGAGTATTTGTAAGTAAAAGCCTGTCCTATGTTTCTATCAATGTAGGTAATATTTTGTGAGTATTTGTAAGTAAGAGCCTGTCCTATGTTTCTATCAATGTAGGTAATATTTTGTGAGTATTTGTAAGTAAGAGTCTGTCTTATGTTTCTATCAATGTAGGTAATATTTTGTGAGTATTTGTAAGTAAGAGCCTGTCTTATGTTTCTATCAATGTAGGTAATATTTTGTGAGTATTTGTAAGTAAGAGCCTGTCTTATGTTTCTGTCAATGTAGGTAATATTTTGTGAGTATTTGTAAGTAAAAGCCTGTCCTATGTTTCTATCAATGTAGGTAATATTTTGTGAGTATTTGTAAGTAAGAGCCTGTCCTATGTTTCTATCAATGTAGGTAATATTTTGTGAGTATTTGTAAGTAAGAGCCTGTCCTATGTTTCTATCAATGTAGGTAATATTTTGTGAGTATTTGTAAGTAAAAGCCTGTCCTATGTTTCTATCAATGTAGGTAATATTTTGTGAGTATTTGTAAGTAAGAGCCTGTCCTATGTTTCTGTCAATGTAGGTAATATTTTGTGAGTATTTGTAAGTAAGAGCCTGTCCTATGTTTCTGTCAATGTAGGTAATATTTTGTGAGTATTTGTAAGTAAGAGCCTGTCTTATGTTTCTATCAATGTAGGTAATATTTTGTGAGTATTTGTAAGTAAGAGCCTGTCTTATGTTTCTATCAATGTAGGTAATATTTTGTGAGTATTTGTAAGTAAGAGCCTGTCTTATGTTTCTATCAATGTAGGTAATATTTTGTGAGTATTTGTAAGTAAGAGCCTGTCTTATGTTTCTATCAATGTAGGTAATATTTTGTGAGTATTTGTAAGTAAGAGCCTGTCCTATGTTTCTATCAATGTAGGTA